GGGTCCGGTGCCGCCGCGGGGCGCGCCGGGAAAGGACGCGCGGCGGGCGGGGACAGCAGCGCCCCCTATGGCCGCGGAGGACCAGAGCGGCCTCGCACCGCGGCGGTGCCAGCCCCGCTTCCCTCGGCATCACGGAATGGGTCAGGCGGGAAGGGACCGCAGTGAGACACCTGGAATAACCTCCCCGCTCAGGCAGGGTTATCCCAGAGCATGTGGCGCAGCATTGCGTCCAGACCGTTCTTTAATATCCCCAGTGAGGGAAACTCCGTACCTTCTCCGGGCAACCTATTCCAGTGCATGATCACCACACAGTAAAGTTCTTCGCTGATGTTCGGGCGGAACTTCTGTGCATCACTTTCTGCCCATTGCTTCTTGTCCTATCGCTCGGCACCACCGAGAAGAGCCTGGCTCCATCTTCTTGCCACCCTCCCTTCAGATATTTATACACACTGACGAGGTTCCCTCTCAGTCATCCCTTCTCGAGGCTGGACAGGCCCAATTCCTTCAGCCTTTTCTCATAAGAGAGATTCTCGAGTCCCCCCATCATTCTCTGTTGTCCCCCACTGGACCTGCTCCATGAGCTCCACATCCCACTCGTACAGAGGAGCACAGAACTGGACACAAAACTCCACATTCACCTCCCCTAGGCTGAGCAGAGGGGCAGGATCACCTCCCTCGATCTGCTGGCAGTGCTCTTCTAACACAGATCTCACCTCAGTCCTCAGTGCCAAGAACACGCACATCAGGTGTCCCGAGCCAGGACAATGCCTGGAAGGGGCTGTCACAGTTTGTGTAGCGTGTCCTTAGGGAACAGCTTGTCCTGGAGGAGTGGGAGGCACCCGCTGGGCCGTATTTGTGAGGTCTGAAGCACCTACGTGCTTTTCAGGCTGTTTCCTCCAGGTGCGGGAAGGACACGGAGGCTGGAATTCCAGAGCTGCGCTCGGGCATTGTTCTGAGAGGAGAGGGGGGAATGACCGCCCAGGCCTCCCGTGGCTGTGAAAGGAAAGCAGAGCTCAGATCTTTACTGTGTGTGTTAAAATGCTTTAGTGGGATCACAGACTGCATTTACTTTCCCAGTGAGTGATTTACATAATCTGCAGGTGTATAGATTTGCTACATATGAGCTTTGTCACACAGGGCAAACAAGACTTCATGGGTGTTACATGGGTGTTTTTTGCATTTAATATAGGAGCGTAGCTTTTGTCGAAATACTGCATGTATGTCACCTCCTTCATTTAATCTTGAGATTTTAGTGAGGAAAATCCCCTTCTTTCTTTAATTTAGGATTTTGAGGCTGATACATTAAGCAACCAGAGGTTGTGGTATCCTTATCTCTCTACATATACCCTAGATTTGTATTCACCTGTCTGACAGTAAGAGTTCTAAAGCAGCTAAATGCCTGCACTGTAGCAGGTACTCAGTGTGGAGATGATAAATCCTATTGGAGAAAGTAAGGTTCTATCCTGTGTTTGTATTGGTTTTCATTATTTATCTGATTTAACAAATTACACACAGATGTATGCCGTTATTTCAGAAGAGGGGCTGACAGGGTGAAAGGGAAGTTTAAGTGACATGTTTATCTTAATTCCTATTCTCCTTTCGAAATTTATCCAGTAGGGATGACAGGCCTTAGTGTTCGACCTTCCCGTACACTTCTGCTCTGTGTGTGCATGTCCTGCCTTTCTAAGGAAGGCTTTAATAAGCTTGGGGGGTCGATTTAAAGAATTCAGCCCGCAGCTCCAGGTGAATTGTCTGGGAAGGAAGGGCCGATCCCAGCCGGGGGCGGGCCGGGCCGGGCGGCGGGCGGGAAAGCG